CACGTCCCCAACCGTCACTGTAGTATATATGTGTGAATATGATAGTCGATCACAAGGAAGTGGAGGGACAGTGTGCAGAACCTGAAGAGATGGAAGTTTGCAGATTGGATGGCTGCAAAGAGAATAGCAGTCTACTTGTGTGCTGCAATAAGTCACCTATTACCCCCTCCTCTCACCACTCTCGCTGTTTCAGCTACAAATTGTTGCTGAACACATTTTGCATTCTCTCTATAAACCAAGCTTTTCTTATCATGTCCATGTCTGCACTCCCTCATCCGCTCTCTCTCCCTCTTATTCAAAACTTTTCGCTCACAGTTCCCTCTCCTCAGACAAGAGGGTCCATTGTATTTCCTGACATGCCCTGGAGTCCCAGGCCCAGCATGCATTTGCACAGTGTGTGTGTGTGTGTGTGTGTGTGTGTGTCCCAGTTAGAGAACAGCTGTCACATTCAGCCATCAAATGCCGCACAGCTGAGACAGAGCGCTACCTTCCTCGTCAACTCCCTCCATCTTTGTCCCTCCTTCCCACTTTCATAAACAAATCTATCCAATTCCTCTCTGTGTTTCCCTTCTGCTTATCGAAATATCTCAGATTCTTGTCACACACACTAATAATCCCTCTCTTTTTCCTCTTTTCTTTTAACCTCCCACTTCATCCTTTTTGTCCAGACAGAGTAGGAGTTGAGGCCACATTCTAAAAACACAGCCCGAAGAGAGGATCAGACTTCCAGATAGAGTACTTCAATATGTGTATAGATTTCAAAACAGGTATTTAATTTAATTTTAACACAATACAACACAGATTGGCTTCTTTAAAACAAACCAAAATATATATTATTTAATTTTGTATGTTGATTACGTTGCACAATATACACTCGTTTCTTCTTTCTTCTGTTATTACTACTGAAATTCAAGCATATTTTGCACTCACACATTGAAAATACCAAAACATAAATCTATAGTGAGCGATGGCGAATGCTCTTAGACTTCATTTATTCACTAAAGCAAGTTCTTGCCTCCCATTAAATTGTGTGAAAAATTAGCTGAGTCATCAACAAACAACAGCTCTTCTTCTAAGGTTGTCAAATAACACACTGTAATCTGACAGTCTCCCCCCTGCAAGATTTACTGGACAATTTCTGATTTTCAGACTAAGCGATCAGTTTTTGTGTTGCTGCGAAACACTAAGATTATCCTAGCTGGTCAAGTGGAGGTGCCTATTATAATTTACTTTAAGGAAGCATTTGTATATTTGCAAAATGAATCATAGCGCTTATGGCATAGCACAAGAATTGTCACCATGTTTTCTGCATACTGACTTTACTTGGGCGGGCAAAGCCAAGTAAAGGGTGGAATATTTTTTTAGTCGTTTGAGAGAACTGCATGATCACGTAAGTAATGGGTAATCTCCACGTTCTTGACAGCAGACCCACCAGGTCACATTTGTGGTGACATTTCTTTGCCTATCAAGAGCGACTCTGTTAGAGAAACTCCAGTTTCACTGTTGTGGGCAACAGCAGGTGACAATATTCTTTGTTCTGCTCTGAAGCTCAGTTGGGCTCACAGACTGTACATAAAAGATGGATCTAGTCACCATCACTTACTGGATAATAAATGTGCATTGTGAAACCTCAACCTAGCTTTATGAATCATCATCAGCTTAGATTTTAGAAACCAGAGGTCCCAAGTTCATGGAGGATCTGTCGTTGGAACCACGGAACATGGCACAATCTTTCTTTCTGGTGCTAACAGGCGCTAAAATGTACATATTAACTTCCTGTTGTTTTCACTATTATCCACAACTGCCAACTGAGATGATCGCCTCATTATGAAAACGTTTACTGAGGCCCTGTTGGCCACTACAAAGAATACAAGTTGCGTTTCAGACCAGAAACCTCCACCTTTCAAACATCTCCCTATACAGGGACACCACAACCACGCTAACCTGCAGCAGGTGATAACTAGAGCCACTGCTGCAAGCTTACTGAGCAGAACAAGGACTGTCACCATCTGGCACAGATGAAGAGAAGCTCACTGATGAAGCAGCTAATTATTGCTCCATTATTTTGAAATCACTAAGTGTATATGTATATATAAATATAGTGTCATTCTTCAGTAAGTGCTGCACTCCACAAATAAACATGCGATTTCGGTTTATCATATTAGCTGTTATTACATAAAATGGCAGATTTCTCAATAATTTATTATTATTCATATAATTCTAATTGTCTACATATTACACTAAAACTTATCAACTTCAAAAGTGCAGTTATTTGAGTTATTTTATCATGCCCAAGAAAGCTGTATAATATATATATATGTGTATATATATTTTAATGGTTACCCTAGAAATGCTTGGAAGGTAACAGTACTTATCTCTGTCCTGTTTTTCATACATATTAAGTTTTTCTGAGCCATGCTTTTTTTTCTTTTTTAAAATATCCTAAGTTGGAAGCGGTCAAGCATTTCTCCAGATACTCAAACCGTATGTGCCTCAACAAATTAGAAAAGCACAGTTCCCAGGATGCACCGACCACCAACCTCTGCATGCATGGAGCACTCCTAAGGTTAAACTGACAACATGGGTTCAATTGTTACAAACACACATGCACATTTAGCAACAAGCGGCTAGGAATTTCTCATCAGTCCACACAATGTGGAAACTCTTTGTCTGCCTTTGTGCATAAGCACACACCTGCACACACACAGACACACACACATTCACCACAACTATGTTAACAGCTAATCAGGAAATGTTGTAAACTGACCGACAACCAGACAGCAACACCCCCACACCAAGGTCAGTGAGTTTGGTAATGCAAGCTCACCTCTAATGATTGGGAGGTCTCAGTGTCTGTCAGTCTGTCTCTTTCTCTTTGTCAATCTACTCACAACAGAAACTCCAGCACTGATCAACGTTTTGTCAACTCTTATCTGTTTTTGTCTCCCAAAACAAACAAGTGTGATGGATGAACTGCTGGACTGGTGAAGTAAGGGTACAAGAAACACTGGTTCAAGTTCCAACTTGACACTCTGGCATTTACTGACACACCTAAGTACACATGGAATAAATGTGTACCACTGGTTTCACTGGTTACAAGGAAGCGAAACCTACAGAAAAAGAAATAGCCAGTGGATATTTGAGAAATGAGCTGTTTATGAAACTTTGGCTCTTCAGGTAATGATTAGTCACAAAGCATATTTGCATGTGTGTACTTAAGATTAACCATCTACTTAAGTTAACTGGCAGCACTCCTACATTCAGGCATAGCGCTCATTAAAGCAGGACAAAAACAGAAAAACTACATTATATACATTTACTAAAAGATGCATAATTTCTGAGCCATCAGCTGCCAATACTAGGACACAAAATGTCTAAAAACATTATTTGTGAGAAAGTTTTAATTACAACATAGAACTATTATTGCCAAGTGTTGTTGTTGTTGCCAACCAGCCTTCGCACACAGATATATGCAGATATATGTGATGTGTGTTTAAAGGAGGGAAAATGTTTAAATGTGTACAGAAACATCTATGGGCTATCAAAAGTCTACACAGTGTGTGTAATTAACCTGTAATTAACAGGTGACACACGCGCATGTAAGCAGGTGACTTTCCCAAACATGATAACAGACATAATAGTGGCTTGTTGCACTCTTGACTCTCACATCTGCACCCAAGCAAACAGAAAAAAGAGCACAAAAGGAAACCATGCCTAAATCTGTGTTAACTCATAACATTAAATGAAAGAAAGAAACTATATGTTTTTGTTTGAAAGCTAAACAAAATTGTGTTCCAATATATCACTCCAGTATTACATTATCGCCGGCTGTGCTAGAGTTTTCAAACTGTGAAAAATGCAGAAATACGTGTATTAAAAAGAGGGGAAAAGCAAAATTAAGTGTCTGATGCACATTTGCTGGGGAGGGACCGTCAAATGTTCCCTCGAAATACGCATACAAAACCAACATCATCGTGTAACAGGAGGTAAACGGATCGTGTGCTCTGCCTTATTTTTGATAGGCATGGACATATTGCGCTTCCAAGAATAACTATCAAGTCAGTACGCCGTTTAACAGATGAGTAACATTTAGCACAACTATGGTTAATTTAATTAACGTGACATTATAGAAATATACACCCAAGTCAAACAGAATTCTTTATGGCAACACAGTGGAGAATCCCTGCTTTGTGTTGACTGCTTAAAATAAAGCATTTCGGTCATTTGCGATGCCTAAAGGCGCCTGAAGCCTCTCACGTCTTCTGTGCCGTCTTACCTCTGTGTTAAACGCGCTCCCTTCCGCTGCACGCGCTCCTACAGCGCACAGCCAAAGCGCGAGGAGGGTGCGTCTCCAGAGCAACCAGAAGCAGCTGTCCCGCGAGCTAGTGGCCATGGTGCGGGCTCGAGGGGAGCTCCTTCGTTGTAGTTCGATCCCAAGGGTTAAATAAGATCTCTCAGCCGTGTTTTACTCGCTGGTTTGTGCCGTAAAAAGAACCCAAACTTTAGTAAACTAGTCCCTACAATCTGCAGCAATCTTCAAAAGCGCATCTGCGAACTGCCGAACAGCTCCATCCCTGATACAGTTAAAATTTCTACATAAAAGTAAGCAAAATGTCCCCGTGAGTGCACACAGCTTCACTCGTTTTCTTTTTTACTCCGCTGGCAGCGAGTGTCACCTTCCCTCGCGGACTGAGCTCTTATCAGAAGCGGGAGTTGCCCACGAGAGCGCACGCCTCATTAATTTAAATCAAAATCGCTCCTTAATTAGTAACCTCCAACGTGCACTTCAAAAAAAGAACCAGCAATGACCATTATCAGGAAACTGTGTTTACCACGGGAAAGCTTGACATTAATTTTACTGCGATCATGTCCAGATCCGGTGAGCTAATAACCGCGTCTCGTGATAATAATGCCCAAAATAGTGCAGCTGAATTTAACCAGAGCAGCAAAGTTGCAAAGTCCAAAGTTCAGCACACTTGACCGATTCCTTCAGCAGCAGCTGCAAGAAGTAAACAGTCGAATATGAATGTTTCAGATCGGGACCTGTCCTTTAAAAACACATATTAGACGGTTTCTTTGCCCTTTAAATATCCAGTTTTCCCTGTTCTCGGAGGAAATGTTCTCGGGAGCCCGGTACTTTGTTAGTTGCGTTCAGTCCTGTCCTGAAACAGGTCCCGTGTTGTCACCCTCCGGGACCGGGACGGACAATGGTCCTCGGATCCTGCTGTTACTGCACCTGGATCACGCTAACGGCGTTTTCCTGCAGTGCCTTTCAAAATAAACACATAGTCGGGCTTGATTGTGGGGAGGAGTCAAAGAGGATGCAAAACTTAAACT